GAGCGACAAATAAGAAGGAAGCTTGAAGACTATGGGCCGATGACTTAAACACAATATTTATCATAGACACAGCAGACCAATGGGTAGTAGAATAGTAGGAGCCAGTGTTGCACAAGAGAGCGTTCTTTGAGACTATCGGTGATGAAGATATTGAAGAAAGTGATGAGCAGCATGAAAGATGAAGCAGCCAACTAATGTATCCACAATATGTCGGTGATATTGCACCTAATGAGGGAGAGTGGGAAGGGGGTCTAAGAGAAAATGAGAGAGATGATGATTCTGAGGCCACCCTATCCCAGCCATATTATTCACATATCGAGTCCCAACAGCAATAGTGTAGGGATGAGCACGACAGTGCAGGTGAGCATGAAGGATAGACAAGCTTCGGGGATTTTGGATTGGGAACACAACAAACATTAACACTCAGGGATTTGGGAATAGTCAGACGCCTGCTAATATCGATGATTTATTTTTAGATCGAATCAATGAATTGTCAAACGAATTCAATCAATGGCATCAGCGTGACCAAGAAGAACAACAAAGTCGTCTATCATTTTATTTTTAGATCGTATGTTACTAATTTTATGCTTTATTGTAGTCCATGTATATTGATATACTTATTCCATAATAATTCTATGTTTATCCTTATGTGTGATGTAAATTAAATGCTGAATGGCGGTTCATGCAGGGAAAGAATATATCAATATTCGCATATTCATTCAAAAACATGAAAATTCTTAATGGAGTACCTTCATTTCTTACTGAATTCCTAAAAAACAATATTTATAATAAATTTTAATAATTTTTTCGGATTTTTTTGAAGCTTTATTCTGACTGATTCACCCGATTCTCAATCCGAATCGCCAATTCACCGATCCGGATCAATTTTTTGAGTACCGGATCCGGATCATCGATCCGTTTTTTAAACCATTGTATAGGACATTTTATCACCCGAACCGGACACTTTCCCAAACATGTTTTGAAACCTGTTCGTGTTTTTATATAAATAGAGGATTTTGTCACTCTATCCGGAGAACCTAATTCCGAACGAGAATAGACTTGAGAGCCGCTCTGAGAATTAGGGTTTTTGGGGAGAATTAGGGTTTTGGGAAAAGGGAATGAATGGGTGGCAAATGTCCTCATAGAAAAGTGAAGAAGCGGAGGCTTTCTCACAAATCAGCCCGCAGAACCAAGTTTCTCGTCAAAGATATCCTTTTTATGTAAATTTTATTGTGATTTTTCACGGGATTATTCTCTGTAATTTCCATGTTTTTCTCTCTCTAATGTGCTTCGAATGGGCATTCCTTGATTGAATTTTATTTTACGCGACGATATGATATATAAAGCGGTTCAAAAGCCTGAGGAGGAATTGAAGCCACTGCCTTTGGATGAAGACTTGCCTGGAATGGGTCAATTCTACTGCCTTCATTGCGAGTAATCCATTGCTTCTTGATTTCACTATCTTTCTCTCTCTATCTCCATTCTCTGTTATTTTTCCCATTTTTTAAATGTTTCTCTGTAGCTGTCGCTATTGCATGTGTGCTGATTGGAGTATCATCTTTTTTTGAAGTCGGTATTTTTCGAATACTTCTGCAATGGATGATCACTTTCAAACCAAGCGCCACAAGAAACGGTATGTGTTTGATAAATGGGTTTCTATTGCATTGAAGTGAAATCTGGTTCTTGTTCCTTTATATGCTTTTAAAAGTTTTTGTGATAAATGGTTTTCTAATGTATCCTTTTTATGTTTGTGATAAATGGTTTTCTAATGCTTTGAAGTGAAATCTGGTTCTTGTTCCTTTTTATGCTTTTAAATGTTTTTGTTTGATTCATGGGCTTCCCATTTTAAACTCTGGCCTCCTGAAAATATTTTTCAATTTTTCATTTGGAGGATGAAACCTCTCCATCCACCCATCTCTTTTTATTGTTAAATTGGCGTCTACTAATAAAAATTTCCATTAAAAAATAGCTAAAATAATAGCATCCCACTTGTGCACCCAAACCATTTTTATGTTCTTCAGCTTCATCCGAGGTCCAACATATGTGATCATTAAAGTCTAACAACCCCTGTCCCAAAGAAATTATCAGATGAATTCAAAGCGATAGTGGGCTGTGCAACCCATTTGGTGACCGATTTGACCCTTAAAAATCCAGAATTAGTGGAATTTGTGTGATCACATTTTCTTATGACAAATGAGGGGAGCACTTCAAGCACAATATAATTTTTGGAAACCTAACCGTAATACCCAAGCGGAGCTGGGTATGAGTTAACGTGGTCTAATAATAAAGAAGGCCATGTACTTCATCAAAAAAAAAGAAGGCCATGTTATGAGCACGTTAGAATGATTTTGTCTTACTTGGAGATTGGGAGAAAAAACATTCCTTGTGTTCAACCAATTGGCTCTTCCTTAAATTTGGCCTGATCAATGCCCTCATTGACTTTGGGAGGAAAATGTAGTCTGTTTGAGCTGAAAATATGTGGCTTGGTCACCATGTGTTCCTCTAGTAATTGTCATGGTTAAATAGTATAATTGAGAGTTGTGGTGGGGATCATTTGGTGGTTGAAACAATCCAACACTTCTAGTGGAAGTAGAAACCAATAGGTGGACTTTTAGTATAATCATGGAAGGAGTTACTGGAAGAAATCCTTAATCTTGAAAGGAGGGAAAAGCCAAAATTAGAATCTAATTCCATGACATTATCGGATGTGATGGTGGATAATTCGTGATTGGTCTCATGGTTGTTACAACTATCCCCTATGAACCTACCTTTCAAATGCTGGTCAACTCGTCCCTCGCCCGGAAAATATGGAATCATCTTTCTAATTTATAGAGTATAGTTACTGGCGTGTTACTTCTCGGGAAATTCCTATCAGTTCATTACATCTTTTTGTTCTCAAATGTTAGATATCTATAATATGGTCAAAATGTACTTGAATCACTAATTTTTGAAAACATCCAGGAAATGTATTGTGGTGATAGAGTGAACAAATGGACGTTTATTTACCAATCATTGGATATGAACCATCATGTGTATATTAGTTTTGGGAGATTGATATGACAATTCAGAGGATATCTTGAATTTATTTGATTTGGCCCTCTGATTAGCTAATATATTCTTACTCCATCTAGCGTACTTCTGCAACCGTAGAAATATGATGGACAACTCTGTGGAGATTGAGAAATGGAAACACAATTATAATAGAGTGTGTTCATGAATTGACATGGGATTATTATGATGGCTGAGTGGTATAGGAAGGTTCTTAATGGCCAAGCAGTTGCCTCTAGTATTACAATGTTCTGTCGTTTGATTGTTACATGTTAATGCTGCACGTATTGTATGCTGCACATGACAAATTAGAAGATTTTATATTTTATTGGACTTTCTCTAATTTTACTTTTTGTTTAAATAAAATTTTATAAAGTAAGTTTACTAGTATTGGAGACTATCTTACCCATGCAAATGCAATCTAGAGACCTAATTCACAATTTGCACGTGAATTGTTCCATTGGCTTCCATATGTATATTTTGGGAGGAGATGACATTTTCGAATATTGGCAAAAACTCTTATTCTTTGTCTCTATTTTCATATCATTGATTCAAAATCATTTTCTTCAATATGTTATATCCAAATATATCTGTGTTAGCAAAATCAAGTGAGTTCTGAAACCCCTTGCCTCACCTGTTCCTCTCTTCCCTTCCCCCCACCACCCCCAAAAAAAGGAAGAGGGGGGGGGGGTTGGGATTTGTGGGTATTAAAACTACAGTAGCCAAACAAGTTATTGTAGCAACTCATTGTCGTACTATAGCCCCTTGGTGTATTCTAGACAAGGTCGTGTAGTTTGTCAGAAAAACCAAACTGAGCACATTCCATCAGCTCCCCTATATCTCCTTGCTTTTAAATGTGCCTACACTAAAATTTTGACTGTTGTTTTTGGACTCATCTTGGGCCAAGGACTTGGCCATGCTTGAGCTGAGTTACTTGGGCGAGGCCACTTGGTCTTACCTGAGTAACGACCATGAAACTAGACACAAAAAACACAAATCGAGAATCATACCTTGGTCCAAGTAATGTTGCATACAGGTGCCCCAAGGATAACATTAATGCCTAGATAAACTCACTACTAGTCCTTTGGCTGGATCTTCGATGGCAAATACACCCTCTGCAAATATTGAAACTCAAACAAGCTCAATGCCTAAATCTCAACCTTTTGCTCTGCCTACTCTTCACCATGATTCCCAATGCCTTAGCCCTTTTGAACTTTTCTTAACAAACTCTGTCCAACAAATCTTTATCAGTCTTCACATCTAGTTAAGGTCTCCCAGAAAACCCATTGCAACTCGATTCATTATTTGCTTAATTTAGTGAGAGACAAGCAACTAGAAATACCATCAAAGTGTTCGTATCGAACACTCAAATTTCTATTTTCCAAGGCTTAGAGAAACTCAAAAAATAAAAAACTCACCAGCTTTAGAATGAGAAAGCCACAAAAATAAAGAAAAACGTCAAATAGTCTTCCATGGTGCAAAAGCTTTATGAGGAGAACGAAAACGAGATGCCCTGAGAAGTCCTCTTCCTGAAAGTATACTGATAAAGTCTTTAACCCATATGGATCACTGTCAACTAGAGCCAAAATTGAAAGCTTAAATTGAACCTTAATCTTCTTATAAAACAAATGAGTTGTTACAGTAAGTTGACTCTTCATTGTAATGATAACACATGGAAACCTGGTATAGGGTCAATCCTCTTCAAGTCTCATGAATGCTACGTCCTTTTCGACTAGATTTATGAATAGGGGGCATTACTTTGCATGTCACTAATCATGTCATTTTTCCACCAACCACCCATTTTTGTACAATCAATTCAACCAATGCTGATTGTGAATTGATAAGGATCTATCGAAGGGCAGATCCAGATGTCACTGATGGATTTAGGGTTTTAGATTGCTTCTTAAGAAGATAGAGTAGAAACTGAGCCTGAATTTTATCGTTTATGGCTGCTTCATCCATTATATGAGAAAATAGAGTTGATTTGTATTTAATGAAAGATGAAAGCTTGAATATAATTGGGGGGAGAGCTCCAATGGAGGGGTGTGTGTGTGTGTGTGAGAGAGAGAGAAAGAGAGAGAGAGAGAGAGAGAGAGAGAGTGGACCGAAAGTAAGGGAAAACA